TCCCCCTGATTCCTCTTCCACACTGGTCACAGCCAAGCAGCAGCATTTGCAGGAAAAAAGAAAAAACCCCACAGGCTGCCAAAAGTACTGCCCTGAAAATGCCAATTATAATCATAGCTACATGACACAGCTCAATGGTGCCAAGAATCCTCCTTCTCCTTTCACTACCCCCTATCCCTCCCTCTTTATTTTATTTCTATCCCTGAGGGCAAACACTGCCTCCAATCCAGGATTCCTGTATGAAATCTCTATCTGAACTAAGATCAACAGAGAGCAACATGAATCTATTCACAAACCATGCTGAGTAATCTAAACCACTGTTATTTTTAACTTCAAAGAGGCACCCTAGGATACCTGTCCTCAAAAGAATGAGCCAGAAATGCTGCTTGCAAAAAAAAAAAAAAAAAAAAGGAAAAAGAAAAAACAAACCAATGTCCTACCTAAATGAAAAGCACCTTGCTGAATTTACCCCCCTGACATTTGGTATTTGGCCTTATTAACCACACAAAACAGGGGCAATTGCTTTCCCTCCTGCCATTCGCATGCAAGATGTTATCTAACTCATTTTCTCCAATGAATAAGGAATTATGAACATCTCCATAGGACCAGGCTCCTTAGCACATGTTTATTTTCCTGTCTGACCTGAAACAACAACAACAAAAAATCCCAGTACATAGAGCTGTGCAATGAGCCACAGCACACAGTCAATACCCCAAGGGCCACAGAGGGTTTCCTGTTCTGTGCTACAGGAAGGTCAGGGAAATCAATGGGAGGTGGAGGAGATGGGAGAGGACCCGTTACACAAAAGCAGGTGTGCAGTCCTCCAATTTGGACAGAAAAAGAGAGCTTCTAAGCCACAACGAAATTAAGTTTTAAAATAAATCCTGAAAGGAAGAAGGGTCTGAAAACAGTAAATCAGCGCTATTATAGCCACTGAAACAAAAATCAGACATAATCACTGAATAAATCAAGCCAGCTAAAAGAAAGCATTTATTTTAATCAACAATTTTTACAATTATCTGGATATTGTTAAAAGTGGATGGTTTTTTTCTTGGCCAGACCAAACAAGACTGAACAGCCACAGGTTTACAGGGAGCTCTTTATATAATAGCTTCTCCCCTGTTATGACTTTGCAGGGCATCAAAATATATCACACAATCTCCTGCCAAATCAAGGGAGGAGAAGAGGCAATACAGCCTAGAAACACTGTCTGACCTGACCCAGCTATTTCTCTTACAGCACTTAACCATTGTTCCTACTCGTGTGAGCTTCCATATGATAAAAATATGTTTAGCAGAGGCATGTGTAGGTCAAAGCTAGTTGGTGTCACAGTCATATATAACGCACACATAAACCTCTGATGTGCCCAGTTTGGGTAATCCTAAACAGCACTCCAGGAATCAATCCAGAGGTAAAAGACTTTGCAAGCCTGCTGTACAAGCATAGGCTTTAATAAAAAAACTGTTTTTGTTGATGTGCTTGGAGGGCTTCCTACAGCACAAGAGGGACCAGACTTTCCTGATATAGCCTCTGGTAATTCCAATAACCTCCTTCAGGTTAAAGAAAACTTACATGAGCTGCAAAACTAAGTCCAAACTGTCCCTTTGGCATGTAGTAACAGGATCAGTTCCAGACTTGAGTTGCAAAAGCAGCATTTCCATGCTGACCACACTGCACTGGCAGGGAGAGAATCCCTTTTCTGAGCTCCATGGACATGCGGACCTCAAGGACTTTGCTCATGCTCTGACAGACTTAACTGCAGGTTTAGGAGCTGACTGCACAACTGCTGCAAGCTGCTGAACCCGCACAGCCAGGGAAGGCCTCCCCCGGGCAGCCTGGAAGCTACACTACCACGATTCATTAATCCTTCAGAGCAAAGCAGCAGAAAAAAGAAAGCACCTCTTCCTGTGCAACAGCCAGTTCTTCATAGCAGGAAACATTGTTTCAACCCCTTCTTGGCCACAGCCTATTTCAGTCACATCATTTCATTTTCACGGGTCCCTCAATAGTCCATGTGAAAGAGGGGAATTTTTCTTCCCATCTATATGCATGGGGGAAATGAAGGACAGCCAGGGTACAAGGATATGGGTCACTACCAAAACCCGTGCCAAATAAGCACCTAGCTAAAGCTCTGCAGAGGCAAACCCTGGCTAAAGTGCTCCTCTCCCCTCACCTAAAATCCACTACTCACAAGATGAGCTGGTGCATGCTGTATCAGTGGACCAAGGTCTGATCTTGTGGGGACTAAAGCAGCTACGGTGCTGTATTTGGAACTGCAGTCATGAAACAGGTCTACCTTTAAGCCAAATCTGTCTCTAGACAGGAGGGTCAGACTCCTCATATACAGCTGTTTTCATTTCCCAACTTAGATTACATTTTCACATTGTGTTCAGTAGAAATAAGGTGAGCAACAGACTAAACAAGGGCAGCTGGATGGACCTCCCTGGAGCATGGAATGTCTTAAAGTTTTAATACACAAAAATTACCATGGCACACAGCTATAATAAAAAATTATACTATGACACCTACAAAGGATCTGCCAAAAGCAAGCTCATTTAGCTTGACTGGACCTCTCGCCCCTACTGTTTTGATGGGTTTTTTTGAATTTAAATAAATGGAATCTGTTTTCAAAACCTTACAGCTTGAGCCTTTGTTATATATGGATAACTTCTCCCAAGCATTCCCATACAACTACAAAGACTAAACACTTGCTTTCTTTAACAGCAGCTGTGCAATCTCCTACTTCTAGCAGATGTGGTTCTAGGAAAAATACTAAGTTTCCTTAAGATTCATAATAAAAATAAAGTGGAGAAGCAGCAACACTAGAAGAGTTAAAGGCTGCTTCAAAAGCTAACATATCTTCAGTTGGAACTGTATCACCATTGAAATTTCTACCAAGTACTTGAAAAGTGATTAGACTCTACAGGGAACTGTTAATAGCAATAATAAATTTCCCTGCATCAAAAAAGCCTACTTCAGCGCATGGTCTTTATCTACACACTGTAGAGTTGCAAAGTGTGATGCATTATGACATTTCTGCTCCTTTCCTTGATGCGGGACTGTACAGACAGATACATAGACCTTCCAAAGTTTTCCCTTAGAGGACATCCTGAGATAAATTTGTATGAGGGTACCTCAGAAAACAGCTTGCATATCTCAATTAAAGCTCCCTTCTCCAAATTCAAATCTTTAAGTGAGAGTTACTTAAAATATTTATACAAGGTAGACCTTTTAAAAAAATTACGCAAACAGAGTATGACTGCAGAGCAGAAAAGGCAGTTAGAGAAGTATGTCTGGATTCTTTTCTGTACTTGTAAAATACTGAAAATATTAGGCCAAAAGAGAGACAATTGGACTAATCTCCCAAAATTTTATGATGTCCCATGAAAACAAAGAATATTAAGAGAAGACTTCTGGAAATTCAAAAACCAACTGCCTGATTCACTTTTTATTTGTGGAAGTTAATGAAAAAATTCTCTTTATTGAGTCTGTAACCATTAATTTGGCATTCATGAGTGCACTTCCAGGTGCTGTTTGAAAACTGAAAATACAGAAATGTCTCTCTAAATTACAAAAAGACAACTGAGGCTTATGCATAGGATATTTAGCTTTTCATTTACTCATCTACACATACAGAGTCAGAAGTCTTCTGAACTCCTCAGGCTTAGTTATTTTTCTACTGATGTTCCTGTAAGGACATTGGGATATACTGCAAACTGTGCTTTATACCACAGGAAAAATACCAAGAGGTGTTCAAAAAGGAAAAATCTTCCATTGAGAAGTAGACACTGGGATCTTTATGGTATGTCACGGCACCAACACACTGCTCCGCCAGCACATGGCACTTGTTATTGATGCCCAAACATGGAAGGGGAGCAAGTTTAGTTCTCTGCTTCTATACGTTCTGACCATAACAGGATTAGATCTGGAACTGAACTGAGGATAAACTCAGCTCCTCATGCAGCTTTTACATCCCTGCCGTAACCAGTGCCTGCAAACATGCAGCTTGTCTGAGTGTGGCTGCCATTGCTCCAACCTTCCATCAACACAGAATATATGGAAATCCAGATTTTATTTCACTGTGTAATATATATATGCAGGGTTGGATGCCTTTTATAGAAACATTGCCACCATTTTTATGACAATCCAGCTGGAGTCCAAGACAATTCTGCAGCCCATTTCAGTTAGGGACTAAAACCCTGGAATAATACATTCCTGAGAGCTGCTCTGTTGGAGAGCTCAGTCATGCAGCATTTCTGTCTCAGGATGCTTTCTCACCTCATGACTCCTGAGAACTGACAGGAATACTCAGCACCATGCAGAAGTCAACCTTTTGAGACTACCAAAGCTCTCTTACAGTACAGCATCGAGGATGCCCCAACCAAATCAAAGACCAAAAGTCACAGCAATGGTTGCTTGCATGATGTGAGCAGCACTTATTTCAGGTATCAAATTAGGAGGTCGGGTTCTCTCAGTTGTCACATAGATAATGGTAAGGGACAGAGGCTCTTCAAGATGCTTAAAATTCAGCTCCTGTTTCAGTGTTATCAGCTCCCAGAATTTTATCATGAGCCTGAGAAGTATTTAAGAACAGCCCTGTTCATTTAAAACTAACAGCAATATCCCAGACCCTGCGTTTCAGAAGAAAACTTCCAGAAAATTGTGTTTTACATTTACCCCAAAGGCTCGAGAAGAGCAGGAATTCATTATTTTTAAAAAGTTTAAATAACCTCATGGATTTTCTTGGTGAAGGGAGGAGCGAGGGGGCTGACTCATGATTTTTTTTTTAATACTTGTGGCTGGCTCTACTGCATAAATAAATCAATCCCCTGGCCACACAAGCTCCATTTTTCCAGTCACAGCTTATTGTTTTATTTATATTTTTCTCTCCATTGCCGACAAATCACTCCAGGGAGTTTTTAAACCCAGTAGTCTACTTTCCGAATGGAAACGATTAGTATAATTTGTGAGAGAGAAAGCAAACAACAACAGAGACTTACCCCATTTTTTGGGTAGGCTATCCATCCTAGATCCCCCATTACTGTGCGTGAGTCCAGTAAATTCACTGAAAATAAGAGGAAAAAAGCTGTTAAAGAAGATGGATGGATTACAAATTTCAGTAAATATTTCAAGGCTTGGGTGGCCATGGTAAACAAGCTGTTTATAATTAATCAAGGAAGTTGGATTTTTGTAAAGCAGAATAACAATGCAATAACTCCTCTAACAATGAGGTCATACACTGAAAACAATTCAATGTATGCATTACTTTATTCCTTTGAAATCTGACACTGAAACCAAGTTGGAAATGCATTAAACTGTAAGATCCAGATACTTCACATTCTCAGGATCTGGTCTTTTAGGGGGGATAAATACATAATGGACACCATGTTTATGTGTATATGTAAGACATACACTCAAACATCTATGCATGTTTATACACATTTCTTCTAAGGTGACATATCTTTTTAGCATAATCAGACTTTTAAGACAAAAATGAAACAAGAAACAACATACAGCGTTTCCTGATTATCATGAACTTAATTTTTAAAGTATTCTATGTGCAAGTATTACAGTATTACTGTTATCAGGAATCTATTATTTATCTCCCTCTCCCAATTTTTCCACAAGATTTTGACAACTTCATTATAAGATAGCCAAGGGATCTTCTCCCCCCCACCCAAAAAAAAACCCAAAGGAGTAGCTTTGTAACATAAGCAATCAACAATTTACATTAAACAGCAAAAACCTATCACCAAGCTTATGACATTTTTTCCCCTCATATTGCCTGAAATACTGAGTAAAAAGTGTGAAGTAATTAAACCTACATACACTTTAATTCAGTTAGGAAAAAATATAGCAGGTTCTAGTGCTGAGCTTTCACCTCCTGTATCCAAAGCTTTAAATCTCCAAGTTAAAAGCTTGTCTCTGAATCAACAGTTGTTATCCAAAATCCCTAGAAGGAACTTTCTTCTACTTTAAAAGCACACTTCCTTCTCTTCAGATTACAACACTCACTTATCACAGTATATTTGTCTGCATAATACCTCACTTTTTGTACTCGTGCCTTTCCTGAAAAGGAAGCAATTTCCCTGGGTCTTTAATTCCTGATCTCCACCCTATGTGCTCTTTAAAAATCCCACTGGAAGTTTTCACAATTGGACTTTCAAGACTTTCTAACCTGTGATGATCTAGCCCAAGAACGAGCTTGAAACAGGTGGAGTAGGCTTTGCATTCACTCCTTTAGTAATGCAACCATGTAGGTAATTAAGGATTGCTAGAGAAGAGAAAGAAATGGATTGCATGCACAAGTATAAAGGATGTGAGCATCATAACCCTCACCCTTAGCACCCGTATCAGGATGCTTTGCTGTCTCTGCACAGCCAAATACAACAGTGCAAACACTTATGAGGCATACAGATCCTTCCTTACACCAGCCCAGGTGATTCCGCTGCAGGGCACTGCAGATAAAATTATAAATGCTACAAACTGAGTACCTCAGATATCAGGATTACAGTATTTACAGAGGCACAGTAAGAAAACCCAGTAGTACGCTATACTCAAAGGCATTCTCCTTCAAAATCTTAAGGAGCATTTAAAAAGCAAATGATAATTAAACAACATATTTAGTTTGAAAGGACAAAGTTCTGAGTCAGTTTGGTCATAATCATTGTACTGTACAGAAGGCTGACTACTGTAGTCCCTTGTACACAAAACTAGCCCAAAATACAAAAATGGAGTGCTGAGGTACAAGAAAAAATCAGTTTGCAGCTCTGGCATCAAACACTTATCTTAAAAAAACCAACCAAACAAAACAACAAAAAAAAAAAAAAAAAAAAAAAAAGATCTGTCTAACCAGATATTTTCACAATGTATTCAAGTATTAATGCAGGACACTATATGGTATATAGATGTTCTGCCTAGTCAAGTACATTTTCATGATGTTGAGCAAAAACATTTGGTAGCTCAGTTTTTATGCCTGGATTGTTTTTTCCTGCCAAAACAGAAAACAGTTGGGAGCTGGCAACACCGCTGAACTACAGGACATTTGGTGGAAGCAATACTCAGAGACTACACTGAACTACATTCACAGTAAGTAAACATACAATTAGGTGCCTTTCCACTCCACAGCTTAAGCAAAATAAAAGTATTGCTATCATCTACCTCTAGATATGTCATGTAGTGATGACCACAGCCTTTTCCCTATTGAAGTCTTCATGTAAATGCTCATTAATTTCTCCTGCTCCAGCTGGAGTCAAGCACTAGTACCCTGAACTACACTGTGATTTCTTTTTAATGGGATAAAAGACTGATCTTAAAATATTCTTCAAAACAGGACACACAGAAATAACATCTCTTACTATAACTGTACACTATTTTAAAAAGCAAGAGACAGGAGTGCTGTTGCCAAAATGGCAGGTTTACTAAAATTTCTTCTATTACAATCACTGTAATTAAACTGTGCAGAACAGTATATTCATGTCCTAAGTTGCAATGGATGCAAAAGAAGTATTGATCTACATTGTACAACTTAATTAAAACTTGTCCTGAAGATGCTACTAATGAATGTAATTAGATGGTGTGTTTGATGCCACAAACTTCTTTGTGACATGCTAATTAAGGAAAAAGCAGAAAAAGTGCTTTTATGCGAACATCAGATCATAAAAAAGAACACGATACAACTAAATATTGTATTATCTTTCTATCAACGACAATTTTTAAATTGCTGTTATTAACTTCAATTTCAAAATAATTTTCAGCATATGAAAAGATAATACAACCCATTCAATTCTAACTCGTCAGTGGGAATTTTCCTACCGGTGAGTCAGCCAGCAGAGCTGAATACTAAATCTCCAGTTAGAAAAGACTCAATTCCTCCCTTATTTTAGTATAATTCCGCATAGAGCAAAATAAATAGGAGAGGACAGCATACACCTTTTGACAGGCACCACACAGTGACCCAAAATACACATGCCAGGAAGGCAAAAAGTGACAAGTGACTTTAAGGTCTCCTTGTGCCTGGGCTGTTCTGAAGACCAGCAGGGCTCCCAGCACAGCTCAGACAGCTCTGAGGGGCAACTAAGGCACAGCAGACTCTGTCTGCCCCATGAGTTTCTGCCCAGAACTGCTTTCACAGTGTATCTTCTAAAATACTGCACTACGTCAGTCTGCTCTGAGGAATATATTTAGCCAGCAGTTATTCTAAATTGCAAGGACTGAAATGTTTTGAAAATCCCTAATTTCTCGTATGAACACATATTACTACTGCTCCATCTAGATACAAGTACCTGCATCTTCCCCATCAGCACCCTACCCAGTCATTTCCAGTACCTGCCCTTTACTTGCACAACAGCCAGGTCTCAATCCCAGCCCAACTCAGCCTCAAACCAGGCCAGAGCCCCAGCATCCCCTCTCCAAGGGGGTGGCTCCTCCAATGGCCCAGCTGCCAAAGCTCCCCATGCAGGGTGACAGTTCCAACACTTTCCGCATGCTCCCTCAGGCAGCCTTCCCATCCTGCACTGCTGCAGATGCCACCAGCACAGTCCCACTACACAAGTCCATACAGGCTTGGCACCACCTCTCTTCCCACCACCTTTCTGCCTGGCAGAAACATTTTTTCTGAAATGGCTTTTATCAAAAAACTAGAGATTGGCCAGGATGGGAAAGAAACAGTGGGCAAACAGCAGGTAAGCAGGTACTTGCAACAGAGGAAACCTTTTTAGCAGAGACTTTCTAGAAGAGCTGTCACCATTCTAATCAGATCCCCACAAGAGCTTCCATAACTCACCGCATGCCTACAGTGGAAAGAGATGAAGCTTTTCTGCACCTGAATAAAAAACCTCAAAATTGTCTCCTTTTTTCACCCACAGCAAGACAGAGACCAGAGGTCTTCTCCAGAGCTCCTCCCCATCCAACCTGTGATGACCACCAGCATGCAGAAATCATCAGATGACCTCCAGAAATTGCTAGCAACTCTGCTTGGCCCATAATCTTAAAAGCCTCCAAAATAACAGAACTCATTTATTCCCACTTCCTTTCTCCTTCAGCACCAGCTAGCTAAGTCTCGAACAAGGAAGAAACCTCAGATCCCATAAGCACACACTTAGCACCTGTATCTTTGCCAGCAAACTTGGAAGACGCACATACACACATTCAAAAATGTTTTCTGTTCATCTCCACCATCAGTGCATCCATCCCACAAGCCCTAATTATTTCTAATGCTCAGTCAAGGGGAACACAAAACCACACAGATCTATATCATCATTAACTTCCATGCCTTCAGGGTAGGATAAATGATGATTAAGTCTAAAGTCATACCACAGCCTTTTTTTTTTTTTTTTTTCTTTTTTTTAATAAAGAATAATAGCCCAGGGAATTTGCATACACTCTTGTTCTCAGACAGGCTGGTTACTAAAGGTGAGCAATCAAGTTAGAATGAAACCAGAAGTGATCGAAACCTTTGCCCTGAACTCTAGCTAGTGAATTAGCAGTGTTTTTTCACTCAGAAATCTGACAGGGAGACTAGATATGGCTTTTTACTCAAATGTCCCTGTCACGTTCATACAGCCAGCATTTAGCGGCTTCACCATGGCTACACAAGGATTGTGGCTGGAAGGAAGCACAGCACAAGAAATGTCAGGGCCAATGGTATTCAACACTGACTTAAATCAACATTGCTGCCCATGCAGCAGAGCACCCCATCTGACACAGCCATCTAAAACAGTGCCATGTGGTAGCATTAGCTTGCCCAGGCAACAGCAGGACAGGTCTGTCATGATGGTACCATGCTTGAAGTAGAAGCAGCCCCCAATAAATGGATTTTTTTGGTCATACCACTGAAGCAAGATGGCTCCTCTGGCTCAGGTCTGAAGCAGGAGCTGCTGGAGCAGCTTCATCTTCTTCTCTCCGATTTCAAATTGGGGGTAAAAAAAAAAAAAAACAAAACCTGAAAAAAACCCCAAAACAACCCCACCAATAGGCTAAAACACTGAGCACTTCTGATCCTACCACCCACATGTCCTCCTGCCATTTTGGTATCTAAGGATCTTCCAGAAAAACCTTCAT